AAATCAAAGCTCCTGAAAGGTCTCCATGCAAGAAAAAATAGTTCTAAATCTCTTGACAAAAGATTTTTTGCTTGTCCCGAATCGTTTTTCAGAGTTTCTGCTATCGGGTAAAAGGTAGAACTTTTAAGAAACCTGAATGTTTCTTCAAGCCTCCTTTATTTTTTTCAGAGCAACAATAGCTTGCATCTGATACTAACTTCGCCAATGTTGAAACTTGATATATGGACAAGTCATAGCAAGGCTTTACTGTTGAGACAGGTTTAGATCGAAATCTGAGATACGATTTTACTTGAAAACTAACTTCCTATACGAAAAATCCACTAAAACTAGAAGCTTCGCACGAATTTCAACAAGAGCAAGATTTCTTTGATAATTATTCTAATCTAATAATCGACTATGCATAGGTTTAACATGAATGTAAAGGGAGCGTTATCTCCTTAGTGGTATTACTTAAAGATAGAAAAATCTTCTGCATTCTGATAGAGTAAAAGGACTTTAGAAAGATACTGCAATTTCAGAAGTCTTACGTTTGCTTCTTGTATTGATACGATAATTTTTGTGACGACAAGTATAATACGTTGGTAATGTATCGACGTTGTTTAATAACGAAAATGAAAGCATTATTTTGCTTATGTGCATATCGAAAAAATGTTTGGCTTGTGTGCATTCAACCGTATACGTCGGATAAAGCATGATCATATATTATTGAGACACTGGGTTTTTTTCTCATACAAATATTTTCATTTTTTTGCTTGTTCTATCACTTATCTATGAGACAGCTTAATTGACGACGAGAAAAAGTTAATCGATGGTTGGAAAAAATGTGCATTATACCACGGCTTTATTTGTTTTTCTTCCTATCGTTGCACAGGGTAGGTAAAATATGCAGGCTTCACAAGCAATAGTATGCTGTTTTATACCGTTGATCCTGTTAAAACCGAGCTCAACGATTCCTTCTGCGTATGATAGTAGATATTGGTTTTTACTGCAACTTTTGGAAGCATTTCCTGTCCAGACACATGTTCCTCGTCAGAGATCGACATTCGGATGAAGTCTTGGCCTCAGGATCTTTTCTGATCCTCGCATAAACCGGGGAATCACTTTTAGCAGCTGCCTCGACTATCATCGTCGTGTATATCTTTGCTTTGATTAAGTTTCCTTTTTCAATCGTTATTTTCGTTTAAGTTGCCGTTCAAATCGTCATTCTGCTGTCTATCTTGGTGAGAAGTCAGCTTCAGACACAACTTACACTCTCAGTCGTAAAGTCAGTTACATGATCCACTTCAACCTTAGTATCAAGGTCTATCGGACTGGTTCTGTTTAGTATGGGTTCTATGGAGCCAAACTTCTTGTCCAGCTGTCACTCGTTGTTCTGTATCATCCCAAAGTTTTTCACGGATCAGTACTCATTTTTATAGGAGTTGCAGTCGGTTTTTGTCCTCAGCTTGGATCTCAGCTTCATAGTGTACTACGACTTTGATCATGTTCTCCATTAGAGTGGCAGACGTGCTTTGGGACAACTACTTTGGCTAGACTTACGTACAGTTCGGGTTTTAGAATTGTACCCGATAGCTCTGCAAGTTTCTGTAAGAATCGTTTAAGTCGCTTACGATCCTTTTATGCTCGAATTCGATCTTACAAGTGAACAGTCGCAATTGATAAGTACCGCTTGCCATCCATGCGTTGTTGGTGGTTGAAGTTCATCATGTTTACAAATTATCCAAAAGAATCCATACCATTGCTGCTTCGCTGCAGAGCGATGAGAAGAGCAAGTATCATGATAGGTAGTGCCACCTTCTCTGTGTCACTAATTTTTCTTTTCATATCTTAACTAGGAAATGCATCTGTGTACTGAAAATTTGATCATTAACTTATTTTTTTTTGTGACTATTTTCCCTTAAATCCTCAGTTGAATCTGACTTTGCGTCCGAGAAAGAGACAATTTCGTATTCGTTTTGTTTTGATAATTACTTTTATTCTTTTTAATCACAAGCCGAAGGAAGATTTCTACAATTTCCTTTAATTTCTTCTAGAAGAAAGAAAATAAAAATAAAAAAACAGTTATAGTGCTTTTCTCTTCAGAAATAACTGAACAAGCACATAAGAAAACAGGTAAAATGAAATAAATACTCTAGGAAGGGTACTCATTAATGTGTAATGATGATGATATTTTTGAAAGAATGTATGAAACAAAGCTTAGATACTCAAATAACAAATTCAAAAGCTGAGTGGGATACAACCAGAGGGTTCTGTTTAATGCAGCATAAAGAGTAATATTTTATTATTTTCTGAAGAAAATCCGTAGCGTGTCATGTTTTTTTGATAGAAGAATCATTAGAAGAACTCCTGTTTTCTGTCGTCTCAAAGCCAATTCATATTCAGCAGAGAATTTAAGGATGAGTAGCCATAAACAAGATAATTTAGTAATCAGATTTTAAAAGGAAAAAAAAATTCCTACTTAAAACAAGAGCTGATAAACAAATAACGCAAAGAAGCTACTGCCAACCATCGTAATACTTGTTCCATTCCTAATTCTGAAACTAAACGGGAATGGTGTGAATTCTTTTAGATAATTTATATGCATGATCAATCTCAACTATCAACAATGCATGAGCTCGAACGACACGTATTAGTTGAAAATATTTCCCCGTTAGCATGTTGCTGGATTGCAGATCTCATCCTAGTCAAGGTCTCATCTTCATAACAGTTTGGGCTTCAGACCCGATCCTTGTGATATAGGTCCTTATCTTTACCTTATATCCTACTGGAAATCAGATTCACTCAGTGCTAGTTTTATGTGGTGTAGAAAGCATACACATCTATATTCAGTGATCATCGATAATTCGAATCTAACTCATCATCGTTTTTGCATTTTTCTGTCCATGAATGGATAGCTTAAAAGAATATAAACACTATGACCAAAAATAGAGCACATGCTTCTGGGCTTCTAATTACATTTACCGAACAATATGTTACTTCATGATATACTAAAAAGTTTATCTTCCATCGAATTTCGTTCTATTATTTAGCACATTCAAATATTTGACATAGAATATTATTTATTGTTTTCCGTATTTATCAGCAATTCATGTAGCTTTATTCCATTAGTACTTTTTTGGCTGTTTATTAATAAAAGTCAAAAGAAAAACAGCTAATGTTCGAGAATATCATCTTGAACATACTAGTCAACTACTGAGTTTTCAACCAACGAATTCAATACAAACAAGTTTAAAACAAATAATAAAATTTGACAGAGCCTACATGAGGATAATCATTATTATCAAGAATATTAACGTTGATAACAATTATTATAAAAACATGCATAGCACTATGGAACTTTTATGATGTTTCAGCATCAGATTCGTGAGGGCTATGATCACTGCCGACAAGCATTCGCTGTTTTCTCCTGAGGAAACGGCTAAATCCTGAAAAACATGCGTAGGTACAGAATTGTAGAATGCTGTCTGTATTTGAGTGATTCCAAATTAGAAAAAAATTCTAGTCATCCCTTTCAGGATTTGACCAGGTTTTCTCGAAGATAGTACAAGTTTCTTGCCAGGATCTTTTCAAGATTTTCTAAACAGAACCAACGAAAATTGAACGCATGACATATCGATCTCAATACTTCAGTTTACATACTAATCAACTGCATAAGCCGTGTCATTCTATATCATTGTCACCATGTAATATCTTAATTTCTCACTTTAGTGCAAGCTTCTCTTTAAATACGAGTCTGCGGGGGGGGGGGGGGACGTGTTTAAAACTTCTACCGGGATATATGTCTGTCTTGAAAGTAGTGAGTAGGCAACTTTGAGCTGCCAGTAGCCACCAGTCGATAAGACGTTAAATTTCCTATTTTTATTACCATAAACAACAACTAATCATTAAACAGTTAAAGAGGTACAAGATAAAAGTGGCTGCATTATGTTAAACAGGTATATATGAGTCAGGAATAAAATTAATAGGTGATTTTACAATGATATATTCTGGACTTCCGAAAGTTAATAAAACAAGATCAGCACGTGGTGTAGCGATTTGTCTAAACAAGCCAACAACGAATATTTGGAAGTCATCAGGTTCAGAACAAGAGGCAGTTAATGAAAGAATTATTAAGATTCAAATGTATTGTGCGCCAATAAATGTGACTTCTATTGCTGTTTATGCTCCAATTAATCGATAGAACACATCTATGGTGGATAAATGTGATTAATTTTGTTTACGTTTACAAGAGACAATTGATAAGGTGTAAAAAGTGATATGATTATTTTAATGAGAGATTTTAATGCTCATGTTGGTAAGCAAGAACATTTAATTATACCCCAGATTGTTGGGTCCCTTGCAGCTGATCTTAAAAATGAAAATTGCATTAGACTCGCCGATTTTTGTTTAGCAAATGGTATAGTTATTTCAAACACATTTTTCAACATAAGACAATGCATTAGTGAACAAGAAATTTAAAATGAAGTATTGATGAAGAGCAGCTGGAAGTATTGGAACTGACATCACCTTATGCGATCTAAAATTAAATTGCATTTGAAATTGCGAAGAAGAAAGTTCCAACAAAATCAGTTACATTTAGATCGTTTCAACTTACAAGATGAAAATATAGTTAATCACTTTCAAAATGATATTGAAGGAGTTTTTGAAGATAAAACAGATGATGATGATGCTAATATTAATTACAAAAAAACTTCACTTTTGCGCAACGTATTAAAGAAGCTGCACAAATGCATTTTAAAATAGGAAACAATATCAACAACAAGAGAAAAGAATGGATGTCTGATGATATATTGAAGGCAGTAGAGAAGAAATCATCTGCTTATTTGATATAGCAGAAGTACCACGGTACGCCGAAAAAGAAGAAATATAAAAACGAATACGTAATTTATAGAAGATCAGTTAAATCAATGGTAAATGAATGTCAAATTGCATACTGAGATGAATTAAGGAAAGGAATTGAAACAGCTATCCTTAACCATGATCCACCATCTGCTTATGCAATGATTAGAAGATTGAAAGATGGACAACAAAATTCAGAGAATAGTGCTGTTCAAGATAAAAATGGTAAATTACTTATCAGTTCTAGAGATAAATTGGGCAGACGGAAAGAATACTTCTATGAGTTATTAAATGTTAAATCTATCGTTGATTCAAATGTTATTTACCACATCAAGACACTCTCAATACCAACAACAGAACGAGATAGACAGAATAAACCATTGACACTAGAAGAACTTGATCAAGTATTAAAACGAATGAAAAGTCAAGAGGGTCGTGATAATGACGATGTTAGTGCTGACAAATTCAAAGTAGGTGAATTATCTCTTCTTAGATGGCTTCATGAAATATTTGTTGATATTTGGCAAAATGAAGGAATAGTCGACCATTGGATCTTAGCCTTTTTCATTCGTTTTTTTAAAAATAAAGGTGACAAAAAACAATGCGATAATTATCTTGACATCTCTCTATTAGTAGTAGCAAGTACATTATTTACTGGAGTAATTCTTCATCATCTTCAAAAATTAATTGATAAATAATCATTAGAACGACAAGCAGGTTTTATATCCAACAGTCCAACTTTCGATCAAATATTTATAGTTAAAATGATTATAGAAAAATTAAGAAAATATAATAAACCATTGTTTATGTGTTTTATAGATATTCAAAAAGCTTATGATTCAGTTAAAAAAGAATTATTATAGAAAATTTGGCAACATTATGGTTTAACAAAAAAAATCGTTCGGTTACTTAAGTTAATATATAAAAATACAAGAGGAAAGGTAGGAATGAATGGTGTGTTTTCCGAAAGTTTTGTTACTGAAACTGGTGTTATGCAAAGGGAGAACTCCTTCACCTATTTTATTATATATCCTATTCGATTTCATTATCAGGCAGGTGTTAGAAGAAGCACCACGGAAAGGTATTATATGAGCCTGTGGTAGCAATAATTTTTTATCATGGTAATCGAGAAAAGTACGAAAAATTTAACATTCTAACATTAGTGTATGCGGATAACCTACTCGCAATGCGTAATAACATAAATGATCTTCAAATGTTTATTGATGTCTTTGAAAAAGTAACACAAAAAGATGGCTTAATAATGAATGTGAAGAAGACATGTATAATGCTCTTACAACATTTTAAACAAGATATAAATGGAAAAATTTTAAAAGAATCGAGCAACTAGTCAACCTGATATTGGTTTTACAATTAGAAATCAATAATTGAAATAACAGACTCGTTTTGTTATTTAGGGTGTTTACTTTCTAGAAATAAACGGTCTGATAAGAAAATAGAGTCTAGATTAACAAAAGCAACAACAGCATTCAGCATGTTAAGAAATGTTATTTGGTATAGAAAAGCAATCTCTACAATGCCAAATTACGCATTTTGCAAGCCTGCGTACTTCCTGTTCTTTTATATGATAGTGAGGTATAGACCTTCACAGTTGCTCAAGAAAACAGAATAAATAGTTTTTATATGAAATGTTTAAGCACAACACTTGGTTGAAATCTAAGTGATCGCGTATCAAATGTTAAAATTTTGAAATTATCTGGTCAACCTACAATTCAAGGCATTATGAGAAGAAATCTTTTAAGATGGTTTGGTCATGTAAACAGAAGGGAATATGACAACAGTCACGTTTTTATACTTTCTTGGTAGCAAACATTCTCAAAATGTTGGTATCAGCAAACGCTGAGAGAACAAAATACTGAAAGATATCGAGAATTTTGGTATTAAAAACTGAAGAAGGGACACTAGAAACAGAGATTATTATAGACAATTAATTAATCGAAATCTACAGGTTACTTCTGTTCATTCAAACATCAAAAACATAGTGATGAAATATAAAGAACAAACGGATAAAGGAAGGATTCAAGATTCGATGGCGAAACATGGCGCTGTAGAGGAAAAAGTAACAGAAAGATTGAGTAAAGATTTGAACAATTATTATACATGTCCAAATTGTAATGGACGGTTTAAACCACCAGAAATCACTGGACACGTAAAGTCGTATGCAAAAGAATGGCGTAACACGCACAAAATTAAGTTAAAATAGTAATGAAACAAATGAAATATTGCCTCACTGGTGCTATGAAGATTACTATTTAAACCATGACGGAGGATAATAGTCGAATGATATACTCGGAGTCAATGCTTTATGAAAACGAACATCACATAGACTGTAAATAACACTTAAATTCTATTCTAAACTACTGTGTGTGTGTTTTTTTTGCACTTTTATGTCTCACCCTACACCGTCAGGTAACCTGGGTTTAACTAACTCTTTGAATTCTATGTAAATGAAAATCGTTTCAAAAAACTCTGAAAATGAAACGAGACCATCACGTAAATGAAATATATAATAATTCAAAAAGCATTATTTACACAATAATTAAAAGAAAACAGTAAAACAACAGGATCTAGTAGGGTCTATCGAGGTTTTGTGGCACTCAAATTGGGAGACAGACGCGAATTAAGTGGTTTAATGGGCACTAAATTCAGACCCTGATGTGATATTAATTTTGAATTATTTTGTAATTAATGTTTTTTGTATTACTTTTTAATTCATTTACGTCATCCAGTGAATGTAACACCATTTAATATCCTTATTTTAGTCGGTAAAATGTCACTAGTCTTTGTATTTCGATTCGATTGAAAAAAATATTTTGGGTGGGGTGGGTGTGGATGTGTGGGTATGTGGGTGTCAGTGTGAGTGTAGTGGTAAGGAATACTCACACCGACACCGACACCCACCCACATCCGCCCTATGGATATGAAAACAAAGTTAGATGCATGGCGTTCATATGAGCATATTCGTAAACATTATGTTTTAGAAGGTGATCAATTACATTGGTTGGCTGTTTCATTATATGTATCATGTAGAAGATATAAACATCTAACAACAAATCAGAATAATCCAATATCACGTTTATTAAAAAGTGCTAATCATTTAGAATTATTTGTTTTTTTTTGATAAATTACATAAATGGGAAGATATGGCCAATTTACCTGATTCAATTCGATCAAAAATCGATCAAATGTGGAACATGTTTTTAATATATCATCAATTATATTTGAAAAATATACAAAAATATTTATTGAAATATTTGGTGGAAATCAATGTAAATTAATTTATTCTGATTATCAATATAAAAGAACCTTAAATCAAATAAATCCTAAACTAAATACAAAAAATAAATTAAATAAATGTTCACACCAAGATTTATATTCACTTATATGGACAATATATGCATTAGCTAAAATAATTTATCCATCGACTATCAATGATCTTATTGCTTCATTTAATTTGCTTATTTCTAGTTTTTTCTTTTATTTATTATTATGTCAAATTGGCCAAATTAGATTATATACTTAAAGGTAACACTCTATTAGAAGATTTTATTTATATGGATGAATTGCAACTTTATTGTACCGTTCGTAGTTCCATATGTAAAACTTTAATAACTTCAGTTCCTCTTGGCCAATCTCTATGAAAATTTCGGAGTGTGCTGCCGTAGTTGATGCTCACTACCACACAAAAAATCACGAATTTATCATTAGCCTATCCCGAGATACTGCATACACAAGGTTAAAATGGCTGATTTCTACTGCCACCTATGGACAGAAAATGACCCATCACTAATTGGTTTCTTGTCATTTGAATTTTGACAGTTTTTGACATTTACAGTGGACAGTGTATACATCATGGATATGAGACTGGCTAGTTCTTTCATCGCAGTTTATGTTATATTTTTTTCCGAATATCAGGTGTACCGTCAATGGTCAATATGGTGTCACACGAGATTTAAAAACGCCTTTGCTATATAACAAAGCATTCAAAATTTGTCGGATTGGTTTTGAATGAAAGCTTATCAGTGGGGAATAAAACTACCAAAGATGATTCGAAAGTTTTACTTATTCTTATTAAGAAAGGAACATTAAATAAAATTTGAAAATATAGTTGTCACACTAAATGTCACACGAGATTTCATACTTTGTGTGTCGTATTAACTCTTGTAAATTAAGGCATATTGAGCTGAAATTTTTATCATTTTATTTGTTAGTTGTGGCCAGATATTGCTGAAAATATCACGGTTAGAAAATGCTCCTTTCGCATAATAGAGAGGAAAATAGTGTAAAAATGTCACACGAGATTGTTGGCAAACTGTCACACGAGATTTTTTCAAAAAAGTGCCAGATGAGATTTTTATGTGGATAACTATCCAGTAACTGAGATTAAGGTGAATAAAGGGCATATTAGTCGCTTTCATGTTTAAGTGCCTATCACTACTCACGCGAACTAATTCTAACACATTCCTCACGAGTTAATAAATTTGCTGTGAAAGATGCGTATACACGATCTATACTCAATTTAACAGTGGTAGTCGGGAAAATTTATTCATATCCATCTCTCACATAGTGTAGTAAGATGCACTACTCCCAATCTCTAAAATCGGAAATTTTTTTTTCATCGATTTTTTTCTCAAAACGGTACAATAAAGTTGCAATTCATCCATATATATCATTTTAATCGACTTTATTATTAACATATCATTTTTTATTTTAGTTTTTTTCAATTAAAAATTTTCTTTTTCACTTCTTATCAAATGAAGATTTCTTAAGAGATTTTTTTTTTTTGTTTATTTTATTTAAACTTTAAATGTTTTATTTTCTATATAAAAGATAATTTACTTTTAAAAATTCGTTGGAATTCTTTAAAATAAAAATCTATTTCATAATATGGATTTTTATTTAAAAGTCTTTGAAATAAGATCTGAAACAAATTTAATTTTCGATTGTTCGATATAGAATTAAATTTAATTAAACATTTTATTTCGAGATTTATCAATATATTACTAAATAAAAATCATTTCAAATATTTTTTTATCGGATATATATATATATCGATAACTTAGAAAAAAAACCTATTTTCTTGTCAATATGATTATTAACCGATGAAAACGTAAATAATCGAATATGATTAACGATTATTTCAAATCATGTTTAACAATTTAATCGTTTAAACGATATTATAGTTATAACTATGAACAATCGATTAATAATCATTTATAAATAATATAATTATAAATAAGATTTACAAATAATGATTATATTCATATATAAATATATATTCTTGATATACGATAGAAATATAAATATCTATTAAATCTTCTGAGAATTTTCATCAATTATATTCATTGTTTAATAGATGAGCAATTTAAATATTTATTTTATTTGGTAAAATATATATATATATATATATATATATGATAAACGATTTATTTTAATTTATTCAATAAAATTAAATATACGGATATATTCATATTAGACATTATATTTCATCATATTACACGAGTTATTCAAACTATTCTACTTGTTTTTTCTTAATTAAACTATGGAAAATGTTTCGTTGAAACGATGATAGATCAACTGTAGAGTTTCATAAATCGAATATCTATTGTTTGAGTTGTTTATTATGTTAAAAATCGATATTTGTTGTCAACAAAATCAAACTAATGTGAATTATTTATTC